TTTACCATTGCTCAGATATTAAGTAAATATAAATCACTTTTCCTTGAAAATCTATTTGGATTTACACAATTTTTTTCAGGCTATATAACTCATCATTTGGAATCATATTACTAAATCCAACACATTTTAACTGTTGCTTTTATTACCATGTACTTATTTTTTATTATTATTTTTTAGTTAATTTATTCAACACTTTTTATTCAAAGTTGTAGTGCTTAAAATCTACTCAATTATATTACGTGTCACTTTGTTGCCATAATTTTTTTAAGTAACAATGTGTCACATTTTTTACAGTGCACGCACACACGCACGCGCACACACACGCGCACACACGCACGCACACACGCGCACACACACGCACACACACACGCACACACACGCACGCACACACGCACACACGCGCACACACACGCACACACACACACATGCACACGCACACACGCGCACACACACACGCACACACACATGCACACGCACACACGCGCACACACACGCACACACACACACATGCACACGCACACACGCGCACACACACACGCACACACACATGCACACGCACACACGCGCACACACACACACGCACACATAGGCACACACAAACGCACCACAGCCCAGTCGCACGTGACACCTCACGGAGGACGGATCGCTCCGCTTTGTTTCGTCGCCGTGACTTTGTGACGAGCCGCACCGCCGCCCTGCCGCAAAGAGCTTCGCAGCTCACCGGATTCCCTTCCCTCCCTCCCCACCGCGAGCCGCAGCTGGAGGAGGGTGCGGCGGCGGCGGCGTTGCACGGCGCGGTTCTGCGCGCCCGGCTGGGGCTGCCCAGCGCCGAGCTGGGGAAGGAGGACGATGCAGGAGAAGTTGAATGTCAAGCCGCTGGGTCCAAGTCAAAATTGTGAGGGAATAAAATGGGCGCCAATAAACGTCAATTATATTTTGCGACAAAAAAAATGGCGGATTTGATTTATCGCGCGATTGCGAAGGGGGGCGAAGGGGGCCACGTGCTGCCGTACGAGGGGGAGATGCCGCGGGAGCCGCGAGTCTCCCGCGGCGGGGATCTCCGCCCGATGCCAAGTCGCCGCGTCTGCAGTGAAGTGCCGTCTCAAGAGAAGTGCGCCAAGCCGTCGTTACAGATTCTTAGGTTTTTTCGGTAAAGTCACCAGGTAGGTAAAAAATTTTAATTGGTAAAATAAAATTAAAATCGCTTCCGTCTTCAGGTGGAACCGTCACAGCACGACAGCTGTATCAAGTGAGAGAAATTCCAAGAACACAGTACTTGTATATATACTGGTTGAGGGTGGGAGGAGCCAAGGTAGGCCCTGAATATTATTGTTGTGAGGTTCGGTGCGGCTGAAGCACCACGCTGTTAGGAATGAGTCTTTGTTGTGTAAACTAGGTGCGGCTGATGTACACTTTGACACCGACAAGAAGGTGCCATGACGGGACACCACGCACTAAACCTTCATTTCAAATGTAAAAAAACGCCACGCAACGCTGAACACGAAGAGATACTCCACCATAATTTTCCCGACCACTTTGTGGACGTTTATTGAATGCAAACAAGAACTCGGATCGAGTGCTGTCCGCTCTCAAAATCCGGCAGAAGTGAAGCGCCATCTTGGGCGAATTGCAACCTTTGAAACGTCATAAGGGGTAAGCGAGAGAACAATCCGTTCAAGACCCACAGACTCATCACACAGAGACCCACAGACTCACCACACAGAGACCCACAGACTCACCACACAGAGACCCATAGACTCACCACACAGAGACCCAAAGACTCACCACACAGAGACCCATAGACTCACCACACAGAGACCCACAGACTCACCACACAGAGACCCACAGACTCACCACACACAGAGACCCGCAGACTCACCACACAGAGACCCACAGACTCACCGCACAGAGACCCACAGACTCATCACACAGAGACCCAGAGAATCATCACACAGAGACCCACAGACTCATCACACAGAGACCCACAGACTCATCACACAGAGACCCACAGACTCATCACACAGAGACCCACAGACTCATCACACAGAGACCCACAGACTCACCACACAGAGACCCATAGACTCACCACACAGAGACCCACAGACTCACCACACAGAGACCCACAGACTCACCACACAGACCCACAGACTCACCACACAGAGACCCACAGACTCACCACACAGAGACCCACAGACTCACCACACAGAGACCCACAGACTCACCACACACAGAGACCCACAGACTCACCACACAGAGACCCACAGACTCACCGCACAGAGACCCATAGACTCATCACACAGAGACCCACAGACTCATCACACAGAGACCCATAGACTCATCACACAGAGACCCACAGACTCATCACACAGAGACCCACAGACTCATCACACAGAGACCCACAGACTCACCACACAGCGACCCATAGACTCATCACACAGAGACCCATAGATTCACCACACAGAGACCCACATACTCACCACACAGAGACCCATAGATTCATCACACAGAGACCCATAGACTCATCACACAGAGACCCATAGACTCATCACACAGAGACCCATAGACTCACTACACAGAAACCCACAGACTCACCACACAGAGACCCGCAGACTCATCACACAGAGACCCACAGACTCATCATACAGAGACCCATAGACTCATCACACAGAGACCAATAGACTCACTACACAGACCCATAGACACCACACAATCCCATATACTCACACAGAGACCCATAGACTGACCACACAGAGACCCATAGACTCATCATACAGAGATCCATCGATTCACCACACAGACCCATAGACTCATCACAGAGATTCATAGGATCACCACACAGAGACTCATAGACTCATCATACAGAGTCACATATGCTCACACAGAGACCCATAGACTCATACAGAATCCCATATACTCACAGAGACCCAAGACTTCACACAGACCCATAGACTCATGACACAGAGATCCATAGACTCACCACACAGAGACCCACAGACTCACCACACAGAGACCCACAGACTCACCACACAGACCCACAGACTCACCACACAGAGACCCACAGACTCACCACACAGAGACCCACAGACTCACCACACAGAGACCCACAGACTCACCACACACAGAGACCCACAGACTCACCACACAGAGACCCACAGACTCACCGCACAGAGACCCATAGACTCATCACACAGAGACCCACAGACTCATCACACAGAGACCCATAGACTCATCACACAGAGACCCACAGACTCATCACACAGAGACCCACAGACTCATCACACAGAGACCCACAGACTCACCACACAGCGACCCATAGACTCATCACACAGAGACCCATAGATTCACCACACAGAGACCCACATACTCACCACACAGAGACCCATAGATTCATCACACAGAGACCCATAGACTCATCACACAGAGACCCATAGACTCATCACACAGAGACCCATAGACTCACTACACAGAAACCCACAGACTCACCACACAGAGACCCGCAGACTCATCACACAGAGACCCACAGACTCATCATACAGAGACCCATAGACTCATCACACAGAGACCAATAGACTCACTACACAGACCCATAGACACCACACAATCCCATATACTCACACAGAGACCCATAGACTGACCACACAGAGACCCATAGACTCATCATACAGAGATCCATCGATTCACCACACAGACCCATAGACTCATCACAGAGATTCATAGGATCACCACACAGAGACTCATAGACTCATCATACAGAGTCACATATGCTCACACAGAGACCCATAGACTCATACAGAATCCCATATACTCACAGAGACCCAAGACTTCACACAGACCCATAGACTCATGACACAGAGATCCATAGACTCACCACACAGAGACCCATAGACTCATCATACAGAATCCCATATACTCACACAGAGACCCATAGATTGACCACACAAAGATCCATAGACTCACTACACAGAGACCCATAGACTCACTACACAGATCCATAGACTCACCACACAGACCCATGCACCTAGCTTAGCACAGCAGTCAACCCACGGCACCTGCAGGGTCTGACCTGTGACCTCCTCCTGCACGTAGCCTGGCACAGCAGTCAACCCATGGCACCTGCTGGGTCTGTCCCGTGACCTCCTCATGCACCTAGCTTGGCACAGCAGTCAACCCACGGCACCTGCAGGGTCTGTCCCGTGACTTCCTGCACCTAGCCTGGCACAGCAGTCAACCCACGGCGCCTGCTGGGTCTGTCCCTGAGATGATAAGCCACTTCGCTAAGCCATCTCTCTCTCTGCGTGTGTGTCTGTCTTTGTGTCTGATAACTTTAATGTAAATTGTATTATGGTTGTCATTGTTTGACATCTTCTGTAACAGGAAGACATCTTCTGTAAGGAGAAGACATCTTCTGTAACGGGAAGACATCTTCTGTAACGGGAAGACATATTCTGTAACGGGAAGACATCTTCTGTAACGGGAAGACATCTTCTGTAAC